GTTGATGTTGTTATTGTCATGCGTGTTGTGGTTATTTGCGCATGTTTAAACATGAGTCTCTATATGACGATAAAACAAAGTTTGGGGACCACTGGTCTAGAAAGGAGGAAAGAGTTGAGAGGAGAGTCTCAGCAGCAGCGTTCGGATGCAAGAGTGAGAAGGAGTCGGTGGAAGGGAGAGCTGATAGAACAGAGGATGCCAGGGAGGAGGGAGAGGGAGCGAATGTTGCGACGAACAGGTACAGAGTCAGTGAATGAGGTCGTTAGTTATACAGAGTGGAAGGGAGTAAGAGATGAAGAAGTGATCAGACACATGAAGTGGAGTTACAGAGAGGTTAGTGGTTGAGCAGTTTCTAGTAAAGATGTAGTCAAGGTGATTGCCGGCTTGGTGAGTAGGAGGAGAGGGACTGAGTGACAGAGCGAAAGAAGAAAGTAGGTGTAAGAGGTCAGATGACTTCTCTGTCTGGATGTTGAAGTCACCCAGGAGGATCAGCGGAGGGCCATTTTCAGGGAAGTTGGACAGGAGAATGTCCAGTTCTTCCAAGAAATGACCCAAGGAGCCTGGCGGACGGTAAAGAACAACAATAGTTAATTGCACCGGGTGATTAACTGTTACAGCATGGAATTCGAACGACAGTGGGGTGGACGGTGGAAGAGGGTAAAGAGAAAAGCTCTTTTTGGATGAAATGAGTAGACCTGTGCCACCACCACTACCAGTAGGCCTGGGTGTGTGGCTGAAGGAGAAGGCGGAGGAGAGAGCGGGTGGGGTGGATGTGTTCTCAGGTGTGATCCAGGTCTCGGTGAGAACGAGGAAGTCAAGCGACTGCTGGATAGCAAAGCCGGAGACCGGTCTGTGGGCCGTTTGGTTCCCGGGCTGCAAAAAGAAAGCTTATATATTTTTTTTTCTGAAAAATGTTTTATTTTGAAAATTGACGTCGGACCTTCTCAACCGGTTCGCGAAATATTGTCTGACATGAAAACGGTCCGTGAGGTAAAAAAGGTTGGGGACCACTGGTCTAGAGCACCAACTGGCACTAAAAAGGTGAAAGAGTTTAAGCAAACTAGGAGCCAAGATAACCTCAAACAGAGAGAACTGGCAGTAAAACGGCAAGAACTAAAGCAAATCAGCAATCAAATTAACTTAAGACACTAGAATCAACAACAAATTTAGCAGACTAGTTTGGTTTAAAGAAAAAGATACTTAGTCCGATTGCACAGCAATAGTAGCGGAACCAACAGCAGCAGCCGCAGCAGCAGCAGCAGCACCACCACCAGAGGATGAGTCCAGAATGAAGGCGTTGGTGGTGGAGGCAATGAAACCCCTCCTACAGTGACGTGTTTCCTGTCAAAACTAACGCCCATCGCATAAAACACACCCTAAAACAGGCATGAAAACGGTTCATGGGTGAAAAAGGTGAGAAGTATATTACCCCTCTAGGGCAGTGGTTCTCAACTGGTTTTGTCCCAGTGATCCTTTTTTTGCGTACCGACGAGGGGGGATGGGAATTGACAACAACTAATAGGGGACAAGTCATTAAATACTCGTCATGCATTATATTGCATTGCATATCATGTGTGCTGGTCAACTATTTTTGCGTAGTTTAGAGTGACAAATCGTACCAGCGTACTTTGAAGTTAAAATGCGTCTCGGGTTGGCAGGTCTGCTTATTGATAGAACAGTGGACCACTTTACCTTCTGCCTCCCTTGTCAGTCCCCTCACCTCAAAATCTACCTCCTCAAAAACGGTAGCGTTAGCTAACGGAGCTTTAGCTAGCTGGCCAACGTTGCGTTATCTCCCGCTGTGTTTAATGACTCAATTCATCAAGCTGTAGCTAATGTTAGCTAAAGCCTAGTTTATGCTTCTGCGTTTTCAGAGCGAGTCCCTTGCGTCGCTTTTCACACCTCCTTGCGTGTGTCGAGTAAAGCATGGATCGGGCCGACTTTTTCTGTCCGAGCCCGGCCCGAGTCCGACCCGAGTCCGACAGCCTTTAAACTATTTTGTCCGAACCGACCCGAGCCTGACGGAGTCAATGCCTCAACTGTTCATAGTATTGACACATTCATGAACGTTTTTTTTTTATAAATAGCCTGCCTTTATTAAACTCAGGCATCAACAAATAAATATACTCGCTCAAACAAACAAGCGCTGTTAAACTCACAAGCACATTGAAAATAAATTATAAACAATGCAAAAACGGAGAAATAGAATACACACAACAAAAAACTATGTACATTGTCCAACCTTCAAGGTTTAATCCACGTTGTGGTGTTTATAAGAAAGAAATACAGCGTTGCAGGACCAAATACAGGGGAATTTGGGCGATTTTGATGCACAAAATAATGATTCCGTCTGAAAGTTGCAATTCTGTTTCAAACGGTACATTCTGCGAATTCCGTCTGTTTTCTGTTATCGTGGACATTTTCTCCCCGCATACCCCCTGAACCACTTTGCGTACCCTACCCCAGTTTGGGATCCGAGGTTCTACATCATGGGAAGCAGATGTTGACTTCACTACTTATTAAGATATTTTAAATATGGAATGTTCAATGCCTTATCGCGGTGATGTGTCCGAGCCCGACTACATTTTCTAAATATTTATCCGAACCCGGCCCGACATCCTCTATCCACCCTCTAGTGTCGAGACATTTTTCTAGGCTTGTGTCAAAACGCAAGCCTCCCGCAACGCACAAGGCTGTGATTGGTCCGCTAACTACGTCCTTTACGGAGTCTCACATTTCTGCTTTCACAGCACAATACCGCCATTATTAAAACGAAGGATGTTTACGAGAGAACGGATCAGATTTAAGAATATTTGTATGCGCAAATATGACCGCTTATACAAGCCGTCATTGGCGGGTTGTAGAAGCGGGTTGGATTCACGCCGGTTTGCCGGTCGAGAGGTGCACAAAGTTGTGGAGGAAAATACGGGACAAATGTGTCCGCGATGAAAAGCAGCAATGGCGATGCACGGGGCAAAAAAGTCTATGATAAATAAATAAGTAGACATTACTCTCTAGGTCGTCTCCAACAAAAACACATTACTCCCCCTGTTGTTCTGACGGTGAATTGCTCTGCAACACACGCAGAACCATGAATTAAAACGAGTGCGTCGACGCAACGATGCAGAAGCATGCGCCAGCCTTAAGTCTGTGTCAACAAAGCTCCTGGGTAACTTAACTTAGATGGACCAGAAAATATTAAAATTATTGAAACCATAACTCACCCTGTTCGCAATTCACAGAATCTCGCGCTCCCTTCTGGCGCACCTGTTCGCAGTTCACTGAATATGAACTACACGATTCACGTAGGTCACCTATTTGGGTTTCGAAGCGGCGATTTTCGCCGAAAGTTGAGGGATTTTCATGCCCACTAAAATGATGAATTTCCAATCAAAACCACGCACGCCATCGTCAAAATGGCGTATTTATGCTTAAACAGTGCACGCCCCCGACAAATAACACCCCAAAATGATGTATTTCTGTTTCCACTCATAAAATGACACATTTCTGGGTATGCCCACAAAATGCCGGCGGTTACGCCCACTTCCTGTACACGCCCACTTGCGCGTGCACGAGATCAAAGGTCACATGCACAAGCAAAAGGGGGGTTTATATACTACTGGGGGGGGGGGGGCAGAGATGTTACGAGCTTTAAAAAGACAAAGAGAGAAGCTGGAAAAAACATCTATTTGGATATTTCTGATTGCAGCATACAATATTGTTGTAAACCACAGTTTGAGAACTAAACGATGTAAGAAAAGAAAAAACTTTGTGCAGTGGTCAGATTACCAAACGTCGCGTGTAAGAGCTGAGCTGTAATAGCAGTGAGTTTATTTCATTTCCAAATATAGGCTACTTGGAACTAAACAGTATCCGGATTCAGGATGTCCACTTGTAAATTAGAATCTACAGTGGTCATTTAAAATTGTCACACACAACAGTAAAAACTGTAACAGCTGTATATCTAATCAAATGTAACTGCATGTGCATATGGAGTCTACCATCAAACGTGTGTGTTTCATATCACATATATCCAGTACACATCTTATGAATCTTACCCGTCACATCTTCGTGCTGTCCTATAAGACGTTCCTTCAACACACCATCACAAAACCAGGGATATTTAAGCTCTGGTAGATTTTACATACTAAAACCTAAAACAAGGTTTTATAATTAAATAATTAAAATATTTCCCTATTCCCGACAGAATTAGTTTGATTTGTATCGTGAATAACATTGACATACCTCACTTCAGACACTTTAAATGCAACTCACAGGCACACAGTGTTTCAGAAGGAAATTCAAATTGTTAACTCAAACATATGCTTTAAAATAAGACATGTCTTTATTAAATAGATCTACCTGTCTAGGTGGGGCACGAGATGCACCCTTCACACATACACACTTTAGATTACATTGCATTACAGGTCATTTAGCAGACGCTTTTATCCAAAGCGACTTACATTACACTTTAAACCCATGGCTTTTTCACATTTTTGCCCGGGGAGCAATTAGGGGTTAGGTGTCTTGCTCAGGGACACTTCGACATGGAACATGGGGCAGCCTGGAATCGAACCAACAACCTTGTGCTTCACAGCACACCTTCTCTAACCCCTGCGCCACGACGACCCACACTTTAATTTGAAACACGGCGATGAAAAGGAATTATATGATATAATATAATTCCCTTCTCAGGGATCATAAAACACGAATGTTCCCGTACCAAAATGATCCTATCTGTCCGCCTTAAGGTTTTAAATCCGTTGGGTAATAGACACAATAGACTTCCTCTTCAGACAATTTGATCGTATGAAACGATGTCACACTTTCATCTGTAGCCTATTAAATAATACTTCTTTGCCTGCGCCATATTCCCGTGGATGGTTTAACAAAATAAACCCCGTGTGTCCTCCTCCTCCTCCTCTTCCTCCTCGCGCAGGGACAACCAGTGATGTTTATCCGTGTGATTACAGGACGAGGATCGCAGGAAGGGCACTCACCTTCCCCCCAAGAATGGAGACCGGCTGGTCCAACTCCTCCGGCCGTTCCGCGGTAAATCCTGCGGCGCTGTCGGAGGCAGAGAGCAACTAATGCGACGGGCGTGCGGCGTCCGAGTGGCGACGCGGTTCAGCCTGCGCTCATCCCCGTGTTGCTTCTCCCAGCGCAACGTGTCTGAGTGGGGAGGGGGCGGGGTCAGCGGGGAGCGGCTCTCCTATTCGCTCCTCCAGCGACCGCAACCGACCAATCGGCGTTCATATGCAAATGACATGTAAATGACGGAAAACACGTGGACACGCGGATCGGTTTCACTTCAGCCAGCGGCCGGGCGAAAATTCAACGAGGGGGCAAGTTTTTGGTCATCGTTTACGTCATTCGGCTGAGGCTGCTTGACAGCTGGCACGTCAGGATTGGCGTGAGGGACAGATGTCATAGTTCATGTGAGAGTTTCCTCAAGGACGCGTTGGCAGCAGTGCTGTAGTGGTAAAATTAGAGGTGGGTAAACTCTGAATTTTGTGATCATACAGACCTTGACGCGATGCGAAGCAACGCAAAGCGTTGTGACTCTGTAAGGCTGTCCTGGCTATATTGCATTATGTTATCAGTAAAAGTCATATACAATCAATGACAATGAATACATGTGTTAGTAGTTTATTAAATTTAAGAAAACAGTAAAAAAAAGTCAACACAACACAACACAATTGCAGATTAATAACTATCTACATATGGAGTCTCCTTTTTACAGTAGTGCCCAGAGGGCCTCCTTGTCCTCCACGTCAGGTCCTGCCTTGCACAGAGGAGCCATGAACCATAAGCCATGGCTCCTCTGCTTCTCCTCTCTCTATTCGACCTGGTGTTTCTCCTCTCCCTGTGCTCTCTGCATCATTGCCTGTCCTATCACTGCCTGAAAAAATATGTTGAATTTAAGAGTTAACCAGTTAAGCAGCCTGTCAATTACACTGACAACATAAGTTAAAGGAACACTCATGTACTACCTATGTCATCATGAATAGCCTATACAGCACGTTTTTTTTTTCACATTGAGAACTGACTTGTTTTCTAATCTACGCGTCACCAGGCATTTTTCTTGTCCTTTTACCGTGCACGACCAGCGAACACAGAGCGCGCGACTACTACCCCCCCCCGTCGGTCGTTCCGCCCGCAACGACTACTACAGCCCCCCCCCGTCGGACCTTCTCGACCGGTCCGCGAAATATTGTCTGACATGAAACCGGTGCGTGGGGTAAGAAAGGTCGGGGACCACTGGGCTAATCCACAACGTGTATGTGTTTACACACCTCCTGGATCCTGATTGGTGTCGTTGCTGCAGCCGCAAGGCACTAATTGGATGCTCACAGACCATAATACAGCGCAGATGAACATGATTCAGACTACGGCGTTTATATGTTCAAAAATACGAAACGTAGTCTTAGCTGTTTTAAAATTACACCAATTTTATTTCGGATTATTCCAACGGAAGAATACAAGGCGCCGGGAACTTTGAGGTGCGTAAACGCTATTTATAGGTGCGTAAACACTATTTATAGGTGCGTAAACGCTATTTATAGGTGCGTAAACGCTATTTCCAAAATTCTAGAGGTGCGTAAACGGCGTTTACGTGCGTTTACCCTCCACTACAGCCCTGGTTGGCAGAACACGTGGGGTATTTTTCTCTTAGGTTTAGAGTACATTTTAGCTTTTTATATACATTTTATATATATATATATATATATATAAACTGAACGCTTTTTATTTTGAAAAGTATAGTAATTAACTTTGAGGTAGATTAAATACAGTAGGCCTAATTACTACACTGAATGTAGTTAGTTACTTTATACAATTGAAAAACAGTCAACAGAGCTCTCTAAATTCTGTGTAAATAAGTGACACGGTTATGGAAGTAAATCTGTGTCATCGGATTTTGAAAGAAAAAGGTGATTGAATTTCTATATTCAACCGCAAAAAATTCAACAGCAAAAAATTCAACCGCAAAAATTCAACCGCAAAAAATTCAACCGCAACATCCGGAGTGATTGGCGGAGTTTTTAAACCAGGAATGCGCTTGTAGAGCGCATATGAGCAGCTTTAGCGGAGCGCGTGCAGACGCATAAACCCGACTGTACATGCAGGTTATGCTTTTTACAGGCACGGCCATTGCATGTCCAACAGTGATGGGGCTTCGGTGTGTTTTAACTCTATTATATGCCATCAGTGTGGTTTGTGCCTGTAAGATTCAGTAATAGACAGCTGACATTTGTACATTAACTGTATAGGACATGAACTAAGCGGAAGTTAAACGAGATGACGTTCGGTTGTTGTTGTTTTTTCAAGCTCTCAGTACGATGTCATACATTATATAGTATCATAAAAAACCCACCAAAAACACGAACATATCAGACATATACACATTATAGTGTGACAACGGTTTATTGTCCCATACGACCTTACAGTTGTGAAGCAGAGATTGTGATCTGTCACTGAATTTTTTTAAAGTTCTTAAAAGTAAAGAAGTTGAGATACTAGTTTGACTTCACCGTTGGACATGCAATGGTCCAAAAAAACAACTCACACGGCTTGTTGTGGTGTGGTGTTGTGTTGTGGTGTCAGAAACGATATGCTCGAGTGCGTCAAATGGGATCCCCACCAACGTCTACATAGATTTTGAAGCACGCCCATGTAGGGAGTCTGCCTACATGGCCTTGGACCGCCCCCCACCACCACTCAACCCACCCAGTTTAAAGACGTAATGGCTAGCTGGGCAGGCAGCAGCTAGGCGAGCGCATCTCGTGGAGGAGGGAGAGGGGGGAGGCGAGAGGGGGGAGGAGGGAGCTGGCTCATTAGCATTTAATGGAACAGCCAATCAAAACAGGTCAATCTGTGGGGAGGTGTTTTTGACAGGGTAAAAAGGGTGCTGTTTGAAATGATTCTTGTGGTATTTTGACCAAAATATGTTACAAACATTTCATTAAGACCCCAAGAACCATATCAACTTGTGGAAAAATGGGCATACGATGGGTCCTTTAAAATCCGATGACAGAGATTTACTTCCATACACGGTGGGATTAGGATGCTCTGTCAGAGGCCAGGTGAAGATCCTGAGCCTGGAGCCAGTCACGAAGCCCCCTCACGGCAAACACGGTCACGTGCGTCGGGAGCACCCCTCCCACTGAAAGCTAAGCCGGCCTCCTCTCTTTGTCTTCCTCAATAGACGAGGACAAGCGGAATCTAAGCAACACACACACAAAGTGTCAGTCCAGGGTGAGATAAGACACAGATGGAACCATACGTGCCCTGACTGATCTTTTAGATGTTGTTGATTGACTGGGTCCATTAAAGGAGGATCACAGTGTCTCCCCTACGTCGTCTGGTACTTTTCCGAACACTCCTCTTTGAGGGGTGGGCTGTCCTGTGCTGAGGCAGCACAAACCTCCCTGAAGTGCATAAAACCTCCTGTTCTCCTCTTTAACTTGGTCAGATCTTCCTGCTCCTTTTGGGGGAAGGAACATTCTGCCCCTTTTCAGCTGAATTGTAGTCATTTTAGTTCTGTCTGTAATTACGGCTTGTGTTGATGATTTCTGTATTCTAGTTAGTAATAAATACTTAATCACAAATCAAGCTCAAGATACTTTTGATTTCGCAGAAGGGCTAAATCCACAAATTTCCACCACAAACTTGACGACGAGGATGGGATGGACGCGTGATCTGGACTCTGACGGACGGAGAGGAGGCCATATAGTATAGGTGATTCCTCCCTGAGGTTGAGAAGCTGCCGTCCCTACGAGACCCGGATTACCGATCCATCCAGTTCAAGAAAAGAAACGACGAACACGCGGTGAAAGATAAAAATTATGACAGAGTCATGACAAAAGGGTTTTAGGCCTATCTTACAACGAGTGTGTTGTGGGTAGACGTGTCTGGGTCACCTGTAGTATTTTCTCGAGTTGCATATCCTGTGTCTTCTGAAAATTCACAGGCCAACTTTGGATAAATGCAGTTGACTGACTGACCAGAGAAAGCAACGGTCATTTTTTTTTTTTAAGGCCCATTTGGGGCCGCGGATATCCATTGTTTCAGACAGTTCATAGATTGGTTTAATCAGAAAGAGTGTGATTTTGCTCTGTAGTTTTGCTTGCATTCAGTATATGGACATCCAGCCTCTGTTTTGCGGGCAAGGAAGTTTCTGGCCACCAGAACCTCCTCTTTTTTTCAGATTAATGCTGTAGTGCTTGGGAAGCTCATCCAAATGTGATTCACTTAAGAAGTTCTGAGATTTAGGGCTGCATGCCTGGATGCCTTTTAGCAGGCCTGCATCTACACTAGAAAAGCGTTGTTCAAGCTCACTAACCATCCGGTCCACACAGGGGGAAAGCAACTCTGTTGTCAATGTGTGTGAGCTGATCAACTCTGTGCCTGAACCCAAGGTTGATTCCAACACAAAATCCTCCATTTTTCTCTGTTTACACCTATTCTTAGCATCCGGTTCTGGGATACTGTGGGTGTGGTACAGGGCCTTGGTTCTCTCATACAGCTCTGTGGCAAATACATCTGTGCGTTTGCCCCTCAGTGTGTCACATATAGCTTGTTTGCTGATAAAAGATTCTGCCAGGTTTAAAGTCTCTTTCTGAAGGAAATTGTGTAGTCCTTCAGTTACAGACAGAAGTATCTGAAACATCAGAAGTGAATAGACTGTCGAGAACTTGTAGAGCTTCGCTCTGAGACCAACAGCTATGGGGGATCCAATGGCAGAGAGACACTCAAAAATGGCAGGTAATGTCTCAAGAATTGCATTGATTGATCGCAGCTGGCATGCCCAGCGAGTGTTTGAAAGTTGTACGAGCTCAACTGCTGTCAAGCCAAGCTTGGACTGAGCCTCTTCGAACTTGTGATGATTAACTCGGGAGGTGCTGAAAAAAGAATACACACACTCCAACAAGTTGAAAAGCTCCACAGCCTCTGAAACAGCCCTGCAAGTATGGCACAACACCAGGTTTAGCTCATGAGCATAACAATGCACATATATAGCCTCAGGATGGAGCCTTCTAAAATGTACCTGCACACCTCCAGTGGACCCACTCATAACAGCTGCACCATCATACCTCTGTGCTACACACTTAAGCTCTGCAAGACCACTGTTCTGGATCTGCTGCTGCAGCTCGTTTGCAATAGACTGGGCATCAAACAACATGATCTCTGTAAGTGCTAGAAAACGTCCCTTCACTGCCCCCTCTGACACGTACACAAACAGCCAGTTGCTCTGAACGTGCATCATCTGCCATAATGGCATACATTTTGGACTTTGTCATCTCAGATACAATGACACTGTTTACTTCTTGAGCACAACACTCAATCATCTCATTCTGAGATGTTGGTGAGATATAGGTAGCATTTGAGGAAGGGTTATATTTTTGAAGGAAAGGATCAAACTCCTTCAAAAGTTCCATGCAAGCAAGAAAGTTGCCTCTGTTTGTGCTGTCTTGGCCTTCATCACTGCCACGAAAAGGGAGTCCCTGTCGCCCTAACATGGAGGTGACGGCAACAATTCGCCTAAGATACTCCCTTCTCTCTACTATCTCACTTGCATGTGCAGATGCTATCATCTGTGCAACGTTTCCCTGTCGGCTAGTTGCCTGGTAGCTTTGCCAGCTTTGACACTGTCCCTATGTGTCTGTGCCATCTCGTGCTTGCCAAAGATAAACAATGCTTTCTTCCAGTTCTTGCAACCACTACTGACCAAAGCATCATGTTTGATGTTTTTGCCAAACAATCTACATGGGAAGTGTAGGATATTAGAAACAAATATACGACCCGAAAATTAATAAAAATGCATATAGTGTACACCAGAATACAGCCATGATTCTGAAACTGTAATCAATAAAGTAATGACAATATTGTTAAACCACTGTAATTGCACAACAACTGATATTGAGTATGGATCATTCGAAATCCGAGTTACATTGAACTCACCAGAAGACCACTCCCAGAGGTGTGGACACTAACTTTCACACCTTTAAGCATTGTTATGAATAACTGTAGGAACCATTGTTCTCGAGTTCGCTGGTGGAGGCGACAGACGGGCACTAGGGATGGTCAAAAGGACTGACCTGGGGCCTGTTGGTTGCTGAGACCAGCGGCTCCTCAGCTGAGATGTTCTTTTTACCACAACACCATGTCTTTTATTAAATACATTTGATTTTAACCTTTTGATCAGCGATGACCTCTGTCCGTCCGGCGTTTCTTCATTTTTGAACACAACAGAAGCAGAAAACTGCATTATGGTTGACTGAATAATCCAACCAACTGTGCTTCTGAAACCAGCTGTGGTGAAATGACCTGTTCTGAGCACCAAAGCTGTCCTGTGGGTAACTCTTCAGCTTAACCTGTCTGGGCCCTGTGTCTCTTTCACCTAAATCATTAGTTGCTGCAGCTGCTTGGTCTGTCTCTTCCTCTCTCTGACTTGAGCAGCTTCCCTTTTCTGCCTCAGCATCTCCTTCTGCATGACCCTTTAAGATAAGTTGAAACATTAAAACATTAACTGATCGAAATCCAGAAGCCAATTTTATGACTTGGAATAAAAATAATCTAGTTTAGGCTATGCCTTGGAGTAGCCTAGGCCTGACAACAAATACCTATACATTTCTACCACAGTAGAAGAAAATAAAAAAAAACTCCACTCAATTCCTTCTAGACCTGTAGACCACTAACCTCCATCACACCAGCTCCTCCAGGCCTGTCAATCTCCTGATTCTCTCTCTCATCTGACGGGGTGGAGCTGCCACCTCTCCTAAAGAATGTTCTTATATCCATCTGGTCAATGAATTGGATGATATACCGGCACAATAGCGGTATGAGGGACACTATGACATTTAGTTTTCACTAGCATTAACTGATTATAAATAACAACATTCTATAGGGACTGATAATATTGTTTTGAAATACTAGAGAGATATATCAATGCAAAGAATAGAGAGATGTCGCTAGTTATTTCTTGTATTTCTCTCTTGTAATTCGCTAGTTCACACTCTTGCTAACTGGGGACAGTTTCTAACAAAGTAGCAAGCTAGCTTAGTTTTAACATAGCCCACTACAATATTCGCTTTCATTTGCCTCATATCAAGTAAACCTAAAGCAGGTAACACTCGTTAACAACTACAGATAGCCACATTCTGTAACTTCTTGTACTTACAATTTCACTCCGTGCATCATTTACTTTGAACTCCTTGGCTATAATACTGGCTGTCGTTGACGAGAGACGGTACTAGTATCTGGGGTTTGTATCGTAAAGTATGATGAAGGGCTATTGGATTATAATTTGAAGGGGGAGTAAACAACATGCAAACCAGAACGCATATATGTACATATGTACTATACATCTGAAAAGGCTCAGTATGCGATGTTTACACGGTTGCAGAACCAACAATTTGCCCAAGGCCAACATGGAAGAGGAAGAGGTTATGGAAGAGCTCGTGGCAGAGGCAGATCAGATCGGATTTACGGGAATTATGATCCAAATGTGTGTTACAACTGTGGACAACAAGGACATTGGCGAGCAGAGTGTCCTGAGCACATGAGGATGAGACACATCACACGTCTGACTGAGGGAGGCAGAGGGAGGGGCGGACCCCAGAGACGGAGCACTCTATCACGGAGGAGAAAGTAACGCACCCTACACATACTCATAAATTAAACAAAATAGCTAACACAACTACACACACATACACACACATCTTAAATTGCATGTTGACTAATTATTATTTTTTAAATTTTTATATTTAGAAATTCCCATAATTAACATTGATCGATAACATTGATTTCTTGTCATCCGGTAACACTTGTAGTTGACTCAAGAGCATTTGGCATTTTTTTTGAGCTCAATATCAGATGGCATTTTAAAAAGAAAGAAAAGAAAAAGACTAAATTGCAATTATTTTAGATGTTTAACTACAGTCCAAAAACCCTCCTGTATGTATATGGTTGACAACTACTAGCATATCTTGATGCATCAATTACTGATGACCATGTAAAATTCCACATTACATTACATTACTGGTCATTTAGCTGACGCTTTTATCCAAAGCGACTTGCATTACACTTTAAACCCATGGCATTTCACATTTTGCACAGGGAGCAATTAGGAGTTAGGTGTCTTGCTTGGAGACACTTCGACTTGAGAAATGCGGCAGCCTGGACTCGAACTACCAACCTTGCAGTTCCCAGGACACCCGCTCTACCCCCTACGCCATGATGACCCCAGTACACCCATACACACGCAGTAGAAGATTACATGAATGAACAGTCATTACATTGCACATCCCATGTAAGCACAGAGAGAGATAGAAGATATGTGGAAATATGGCATGACCAAAAGTTGGAGAAAGAGAGATTATGGCTGAAGCATGTGTATTGGTCAGAGGAGGCTGCTGCGGTGTCTGTTTCTCTCTCTCCTTCCCAAAGGAAAAAAAGTGTTCCTTGGTTCTACTCCACATTTCATTGGCTAAACCATCTCACTGGGAATGACAGGATCTTGGTCCATGGTTGCAACAGTGTATCGGCCTAAAGTTCAGACCGGGTGCAGAGGATCCTCATGAAGAGTATAGGGCTAGTGGTAATGTAGATCGCACTATGTTAATCACACGAGTAAGTGTACACAGAACAGTAGAGCTTGTCGAGGAATACACACAACACACAGACTTGTATATCCACCACTTACATGCCCAGAAGACTTTTCACCTCTCTGCTCAGAGATGGTTCAGATATCATACAACATTGTTAGAACTGCCTAACATTACTGTCAAACGATGCAATGTCCTTAACCCAGCTACACCTGTTAGTGGCAGGTGTCAGGATCTCCAATCCCCCCGAGTTGGTTGATGAGAAGAATCTCAGCACGTTGATCAATTAAAGTCAAAAAGTTAACATTTATTTAGAAGAGAAAAAGATTACATGAGCAATTCTCCGCAGACATCTGGCTCTAACTATTGCTTGCAAGCAGGAGGTCCAACACACCAGCCCGTATCTCAGCGCTCGGTGTAGTGGCGTTTCCGAGCAGTTAAAACGCTGAGTTTTTATACACATGTGAAGGACATTCTCCATGCCAGTTACGAGAAGCTGCAAAGCAGGTTGAGATAAGAACCCAGGTGAAGCTGAGGGTAGCACACACACTGTTAGGGATTTAAGCCATAAGTGCACCCCTAGTCATAGAATTGTAGTACGTGTAATGATGTTTAGTGATAGAATTATAGTTGGTGTGTTATTAGATATTAGTTATTACATTAACATGTTAGATGAAGTGAATGCAATTTCAATCAAACACAATTCATAGTCATTTAAATCATATAAACACTGTACACATTAACATTCTGTCACAATGTGATGTTAAAACCTGGGGACGGATGCCAATTGCCGTTCTTTATGGATTTCTCCCAATTTTATCCCCAAGGAGGGTTTTTTGGGAGTTTTTTCTCCTGTCAGGTAATAAAATGAACAACTTATTTCAAGGCAGCCGACTGAGGCAAATGTCTTGAGAATTGAACCACATGAACTGTTTTAGATCTTATGATGAAGTGTGATGAACGAGGATCATTAATGATGGGTTGTTGTAATTAAAGTGTACTAGTTATAAGATGAAGACTTAAACGATGTATGCTTTGTTGGGTTCACTCATTGAGGCATAAAGCCACTTTATCAGTATTGAGTGCATTGGAATGTGAGGGACAGATAGTACAGAGAGGTTTCAGGTTACAGCTGCAGCTTCACACCTCGACGTGGAAGGGGACAATGGAGGAGGTGACCCTTTGGAGAAGAGGCCAATGACATTCAAATGCACCAAGGAAGACACACCTCAAGAGTTTTCAAAGGACCAAAGCGGGGAAAAGACTGTTAGAACTTCTCCTGCAGCCGCGTTGATAAGTCACTTCAGACTTGCTCAGAGGATTCTCTATTTCGCGAAATATTCCACTGTTCGCTTAGTATTTCACTTTGTAATTGTAATCCCTATTACGTTGTTCAGTTATTAAATAACTTTTGATTTTTGAATTTAAACGAATTGACTCATTCGTGTCCTCGTTTCCGGCCGGGACGAGAACAGAGGATTGAGTCCTCCCTCGAGAGCTTCCGAAACCTTAACAGTTGGCGCCCAACGTGGGGCTCTCGTTGGGGGAAGGCGTTGCTGAGAGGTTTGACTGCAAGTACCACGGGTACAAACAAGGTAAAACAAACTTTTTCATGAATTCTGTGATAGGTAGGTTTAGGAAGATTTAGAGTGGTGCTGGCAGTCGGCCATGAGGCAAGGCCTTAGATGCTAAATACTAAAGGCTAGTACATTAATGACTTGGGTGAATATAATAAGCTGATAGTGAATAACAGTGGGGACATACTTTTGCAAAGTGAATGCGAATGGGAGCCGGCTTTTAGAAATTCCAAACACGCGCGTTTGGTGCGTTCAGGTACACACTTAGAGCGTTAGAAAAATCCAGGCGGCGAACTGGTCTGCTGAGACATAAAGACCAGCAGGATAAAATCATAGAAGTAGACCCGTATGGGATTGGTTAGGGGGTTCGCATGAGGTGTGACGATGCGCATGTTGTCCACTAGGTTTCCCACAATAATTACGGCGTCTTTAGAGAAGACTCTTCTCTTCATT